CTGTCTGTTCTAATCAGTCAAGTGGGTCAGGATCCCAACAGGGGCAGCTGAGGGCCTTCCCTTCCCTCGGTGCAGCGGCTGAAGCGCAGCTCACAAGGGCCTTTTCACGAAATGGGCTGGTCAGCCAAGCCGCTCTCGGCTCCTGGTTTTTGGCTACCTTAGATTAACTGGGCTCTCTTGCAGTTTGACCTGATTGCGTCTGAGCTGACAGGAACCAGCACAGAGGAGGAATATAAAGGGGGGGGGGTTTAGATAGTTGGAGGAAATGGCCATCTCTGTCCAGGGCTATTGTGAAAATGCCAAAATGAGTCCTGAATGTTTTGACTGGGGCAACATTTGTCAAACACGTGTCAGGAATCGCTGGGAAAGGAAGCACAAATGAAGGGAGGATATCTGAGAGCTTTCGTATTGATCTGTTGTAAAAGGGACCCTGAAGAACCAGAAAACATGGAGGAAATGATCTGGGCCCTTTGGGAAGAGCTGTGTGTGTGTGTGTGTGTGTGTGTGTGTGTGTGTGTGTGTGTGTGGTCTTGAAGGGCACCAGAAATAATGACAGCAAAGAAATGATCTTCCTCGGCTTGAAGACACGGCTCTCCAATGAAGACCAACGACGGAGATTTAAGACAAACAGAAGGAAGGATTCTTGCTCTGTTAAGCTTTGGAATGACAGCCCAGCTTGGCTTGTTTGGAAGCTCCCCAGATTTCCCTGAAATATAGTGAGAAAATAGGCTGCCTGGGGGCTGGGGAGAGGCCCCTCCCAGGGTGGAAAGGAGGCCCCCCCCCGATCCGTCTGTCAGAGGGCCGGAGGACCCAATTAGTGTCAGTTGCCATCGTCTGGCTGAGCAATTCGCATGGAGCTGGCAGAGGGCACGGCTGGCCACCCTCCCGGAGGCTCTTGGGAGGTCCTGTGCTGCGAGGGGGGGAGGAACGGGGTTCTCTCTGCTCTCAGCCCCGCCCCTGCGGATTGGGCCCTGGCGGACTAGGCAGGTGGGCTGCACCCCCTCCTGCTCAGACACCCAGGCCCAGATCCTCCCCGGGTTACTGGCTCTGAGTTAATCTAGCGCAGTGTTTCTCAACCTTGACAATTTTAAGGCATGTGGACTTCAACTCCCAGAATTCCACAGCCAGCATTGCTGGCTGTGGAATTCTGGGAGTTGAAGTCCACATGCCTTAAAATTGTCAAGGTTGAGAAACACTGATCTAGCGGCACCATTAAAAACAAGAAACCGTGACCCAGCACGGCAACAAAGCTGAAGGCCCCAAATACGATAATGCAATCAATTCATTTCTCCTTTTTAACTTCTTTGGGTACCTTAAATATGAAAAGGTGAAGTTTTCTCCTCTCCAGTCGTGTGCAAACAGAGATTCAAGTCATCCATGCTCCTTCTGCAAAAGGGATCTTGCCGGAAGAAAAGATGGGGGGGGGGGAGGAAGGGCGAGCTGGGCCTCTCTTTCCAGGGAGGTCAGCAGCAGAGAAGCCAGTGTGGCCAGGGGTGGGTGGGGGAGGCATGGGCACCCCTGGGGGAAATCCAAGGCAGCCCGAGCACCCCTGCTGCCTGCCCACCCATGACCTCTCTCTCTCTCTCTCTCCCCCTCCCTCCCTCCCTCTCTCTCCTGCTAAACAAGGGTGACCTGCATTCCCCAGGAGAAGGGATCCCTGGCTAGCTGACCCAGGAGGCTGCCATCCAGGGGGGGCTGGATCCAGAACTGGCCCCCAGGATCCAGTCCGTGGGCCCCTGGCTCTGGATGGCCAATCTGCTTTTAATTTGGGCCAGTCGGGTTTTTGTCTCCCATTTGCCTTGTGATGAAGAGGCTGGGGCACATGCCCAGGGATGGGCAGCCGAGAGCCAGGTGCTCGGACGGTGCCAGGCCCATGCTGCCGCCTAGCCCGGGCTTTTCCCTGACTGCCACATCTCGTTCTGAGAGGCTGAGCCAGCTGGAGAGATTGGTGGACATCTGGAAGGGTGGAAAAGAGGAAGAGGAAGGACGGGCTGGGAGGGAGGAAGGAGGGTTAGACAATGCAGGTGTCTCTCAGATGAGGCAATTAACAGACAGAACAATTAGTGCTAAACTCAGCTTGTTTGCAGACAACAAACACAGGGAGATGAAGGCGAACAATGAACAATATTGCTGCAATTAACATTTTCTTCCACTTAACAGCTGTAAAATTAGGCTCTTGTGGAGAAGAAAGGCGGGTCCTCCCCACTTGCCAGGATCCGTCCCGCTGGGCTGCAGATCCCTCAGACTCAGCTGCCCTGGGAAAGGTGGCCAGTGGCTCTCCGGAATCGGTCCCTACCTGCCTCCAGGGAAGCTGCACAATTTGCCAGAGCTGACCAGGCGTTGGCAGGAGGCCCGCCTTGGTTTTTATCCATGCAGCCCTATCAAGGTTAGTGCACACCGTGCAGCCATTTAAAACAACAGTGCCCCTAAAATCCATGTGGTTAAAGCAGCAATGAGTAAAAATGGCACATTTAGGAAAAGGACGAGGCGAGGCGAGAGGCGGGATCCGGCTAATGCTGGGCCTGTGGATCTCCAAGACTCTCTGACCTTCACTCAGAAATGGTCCTGACTGCCCTGGAGGGACGGTATGGAGGTGGGGGGAGTGCTTGGGAGTGGAGGCCCCTCTGCTTCTCCACCTGCTCGTCCTCTGCTTTTGCTGCTCCGGTTTGCTCCTCTGCCTCGTCTCCAGCCCGTAATGAGCTGCCTGCCACTGGGTAAGGGCACAGAGGCCGGCATCCTCTATGTGGGCCTGGAGCTGCTTACTATGGTGGAGCAAAGGGCAGCCCGTAATGGCTCCAGGCGTGTGGGGAGCACTTTCTGGAACCGATCAGGGCAAGCCTCACATGTGTGTGCCTGAGAGGTTTTTCTGAATGGCCAGACCCCAGGGCTGGGAGGGGGGCCTGAGCATTTGCCCCCTCCCCATAGAGCAGTGGTTCTCAACCTGTCGGTCGGGACCCCATTTGGGGTCGAACGACCATTTCACGGGGGTCGCCAAACAAGGCTGTCCACCATTTTTTCCCCCTTTTCTTTGGCCAGGCCCCTGGCACCGGTGATGTATAAGTGGTTGGGGGTCACCACAACATGGGGAACTGTATTATGGGGTCGCGGCATTAGAAAGGTTGAGAACCACTGCCATAGAGTGTGTGTGTGTGTGTGTGTGTGTGTGTGTGTGTGACATCAAAGGGCCTGTGCCAACGCAGGGCTCCCTCCATAAGGGGGACTGCCAAAGAGCCCCAAGGGGTACGGAGAGGGTGCCAGACCAAGGGGGGCACAGCCATGGCAGCTGCAGGGTCCCCCCCAGTGGGCCAATGACAAGGAAGCAGCAGAGCCAGGATTCCTCAGCTGGGCTTCCCTCCCCAGGGGAGAGGAGGGAGGCCTTGAGGACTTCCTCCTGGTTTTCAGGAGGTTGTAACATTAGTTACAAAATTGCATAATTTAGCAAGCATCCAACTAGAAGAACCAGCAGCAGAACAAAACCTTGAATTAAAAAAGCATAAGGGAGGGGGGGGCAAATCTCAGCATCTCCAACCTGCCCAGCTCACAAGGCAGCAGCTGCGTCTGCATCACCTGAAAAAAAATCAGGCTTATTATTTGCTTGTTTGTGTCAAGCCCCCAAAGGCTTGCCATATGAACGGGGACGGGGGAGCACAGATACCAACCCACCAGCCCGGCCGGCAGCTGCGCAGTGTACCGCCACACCCCACGGCCGCACCGGGCGAGCCTCCACCGCACGGCCGTTTTCACAGGCTATACGACTGATACCAACAACATCGGGGGTGTTACCGAACTCGGGAGCGCCCGAGGGCCGCCTGCTGTCGACGAACCCGGAAGTCTGTGAATTGCGACGGCTGCCTGCAAACGGAATACCGGCGGGCTGGACCGTCTGGGAGAAGGAGGCCTTCGCGATTCGTTGGGCTCTGGCGATATGGCGGCATTTATTGGAAGGGGCCCAGGTGCCTTTCGAGGTGTGGACAGACCATAAGAACCTGGAGGCACTTCAGACCCCAAGAGGAGACCACTCCCACTGCTGACTTTGCCTTACTCGCATAATAAGTGCTTGTTGGATGTCAGTGTGTGCCGCTCTTCTTTGTTCCCGCTCTACCGGCGACGGCGGATACACTGATATATGGATTTTGTTGTAGAACTACCCGACAACCGGGGCTACAACGTAATATGGACCGTGATAGATCTATTCTCCAAACAGGCGCATTTTATCCCATGCAGAGGCCTGCCATCAGCGCGACGTTTGTCATAGAAGTCCCTATGCTGATGGGGTACCAGGACCGATCTCGGGGTCCCATTATGAGGTGCAGGAGGTCCTAGACTCACGAAAGCGGTATGGTAAAATCCAATACCTCCTTCGGTGGAAAGGATACCCGCTATCAGACGCAACCTGGGTGGGGGAGGAGAATATAAACGCACCTAACCTAATCCGAGCCTTCCACCGTAAGTGTCCGGCAAAGCCAGGGCGGAACAGGTGTAACACTGTGCATTCAATCCCTTCCTTTTCTTTTCCAGGGGGACCCGTGGTAGAGGGGGCCGCATGTCGAGCCCCCAAAGGCTTGCCATATGCCCGGCCGGCAGCTGCGCAGTGTACCGCCACACCCCACGGCCGCACCGGGCGAGCCTCCACCGCACGGCCGTTTTCACAGGCTATACGACTGATACCAACAACATTGGGGGTGTTACCGAACTCGGGAGCGCCCGAGGGCCGCCTGCTGTCGACGAACCCGGAAGTCTGTGAGTTGCGACGGCTGCCTGCAAACGGAATACCGGCGGGCGGACCACCTGCGGACCAGAGGGCCATACTCCGGTGGGCAGACCCAGCGTGGGAGAGCGGGGGGTTGTTCTCTAGCAGCCAGGACGTTCGGCAGGGCGAGTTTAGCGGCGGGCAGCTGGCGCGCGGACCGGACGCTCGGGCGACGGGGTGTGGGGGCGGTGCTCCGTCGGGGAAAGGGAGAGCACAGGGAAAGGGTGGAGCATTTATGCATATCGACCAGATGTTGGTTTGGGATCGGGGCCGGGTCCACAGGGTGGAGCACGTCGATATATTGCGTTGGGAGGAGACCACTCCCACTGCTGACTTTGCCTTACTCGCATAATAAAGTGCTTGTTGGATGTCAGTGTGTGCCGGTCTTCTTTGTTCCCACTCTACCGGCGACGGCGGATACACTGATAGTTTGTTTATTATTTATTAAACCTATTGGCTGCCCATCTTACCACAGGGTAACTCTGGGCAGCTTAGTTCCTGAGGACCTTGTTACCACTCGGTGCGGTAACTGGGTTAACCTCCTAAGTAACTAGGTTAATAAAGGAGAATATTTGTAGCTCAGGGTTGAAATGAGGTTTCCTTGGTGTTCTCTGAGCTTGGTTGCTTTCTTGCAGACGTATCTTGCTCAGCACGGATGATGTTGCCTAGCTGGGTAATAAAATGTCTGCAGGAAAACAACCAAGCACCAAGGGCCCCTCGTAACTCGGCTAACCTCGTAAGGCCAAGTGGCCGTGGATTTTGAGACAACGTGGGTCCAGATTTTCCATGGCTGATTCTCTGGAGAATTGCACTGCCCCAAACACTCAGTGGTAATTTGGGGGTCTCATGGGTGCCGCTGAAAAACCAGGCGGGCAGCTGTGGCCTGGAAAGCCTTTGCCTGGGATCCTCTTGTGCACTAATTGCATCAGACAGCGCCGGTCACGGACACCGCTCCTGCCTCGGTCCCCTCGCCACTGCATTATCTAATGCTTTCCACGTCGCAATAGCTGTAATTGCTCTCCATGGCTACTCCACACATGCTGCAGTTTGGAAGCATTTCCCCCCTTTACCCCTGTGGCGCTCACTTCCTAAGCTGCACTTCCCGCTATAGTTCCAGGCAGCCCTTAGCAAGGGCCCTTAGACTTCATGCTCTCTAAGGGGTTCACAGAGTCAGCCTGTTGCGCCCAACAATCTGGCTCCACCTTTTATTGACCGCGGAAGGATGGAAGGCTGAGTCAACCTTGAGCCAGTCAAGATCGAACTCCTGGCAGCCGGCAGAGTCAGCCTGCAATGCTGCATCCTAACCCCTGCACCACCACCTCCCCTATGTTGCTGTTGTTCTTGGCTATGAAGCCCTTCCTGGTACGGGCTGAGGCTACTCTTAGGCCTGTCTACTTACCTGTCCAGTAAATGCTGACCGCTTGCATACTTCAAGCCCACTATTAAGACCACGGGTCCTCAAACTTGGCAACTTTAAGATTTGTGGACATCAACTCCCAGAAACTGCATTCACACACGTTATACCTGCTCAGCACTAACTCTCTTAAGGGTGTGTAGAAGTAGTGCAGGAGCTACAGAAAAAGGCACCCCAAATTAAGAAATTCTACGGTGGCAGAGATGAGCAGCTGCTCCCCCCCCAAGTGGTATCAACTGTTGAAATGTGTCTCCCTCTTGGGAAGGGCTGCTGACCAAAGGGAGCCTCTCCAGTCCTGGATCGGAAGTCCTGGGGCTGCATTCTCCCTTCGCACGTTCAGGTTCCCCTGTGGCAAAACCACCATTCTGAGCAGAGTCCTTGGGGTGGATGCTTCAGCCCCTCCCTTTTCCTCCAGCAGCCCTGAAGAGCTCCCAGCTTCCACCTTCAGCTGGCCTGGTCTCTCCCTTCACCCACCCAGGGATGTTCTCCTTCAGGTGGCCCTTCAAGAGCGGAAGCCACCCAGCATTGGTGGGGGGATCAGAGGAGGCCCCTGAGTGGGGAAAATCAGCCTGGCTCCCTCAAATTCCTTGGAGAGCCGTGAACCAGCATCGCCTCATCTCTGGTCAACCCTTAGGGCTGGGCTCCTGTGATTGACCGAGGGGGCACAGGCCGGCCGGCCGTTCTGCTAGAGCAGGATGGGGCCAGTCTCAGGGCCAGGACCTGGAAGAAGACTTCAGGCTCTGGACTCCATGGGTGGACTCAGTTGTGATACAGAAGGACAGCGAAAGGTTGACGGGGGTCCTGGGGGGGGGGGCAAGAGGTGGTCCGTCTTTCCCACCTAAAGCCAAGCTCTTCTCCAGAGCCCTGGTGCCAGTCAGCCAGCCAGCCAGCCAGCCAGCCAGCCAGCAGAGCAGCAGGGGTGGACAACCACATCCTAAGGGCTGGAGTGGGTGAAGACTTCAGGCCCTCTAAAGCCCTCCTGGGGTCTTTGGAAGAACAGCCAGCAGGGCCAAGACTCAGCCCCTGCCAGCCCCGGGCAGGGAGGTGGAGCCTCTCAAGGCTCACCTTCCCCGTGGGGTCTTCCATAGCTTTTCCCCTGCTGGCTGGCTCAGGCCCAGGAGGCTGCACAGGCCCCACACTGCTGCTTGGAGGTCGAGAGGCTGCGGGGGGGGGCGGGGGGGGGACGCTCATCTGCTGCGGCCTGCCTGGAGCAGTTGCCTAGCCCCGAAGAGACTCGGTGGGGCTGGAGGCGGTCCGGGCAGCCCAACACCTACGGGACAGGGCTAGCAGCCTCCAGCCCGACTTCTGTCCGCCCGCGGCCGCCCCCATGGCTGCCTCCGCCCGGGTGCTCTCCTTCCTCCGGACCCAGTCCCCCCCCCCGCTGCCCCACGACGGTCTATCGGCGACTCCACTGGCCAGTGGCTGCCGGCTGCCTGTCCGGGGCTGACTCGGCGGATTGCTATTTTTAGCTGCTCCGTGTTTCCAGGGGAAACCTGGTGACGCAGTGACGTCAATGCAGGTCAGGAGCGGACGGGGTGGAAGCGCCGCCGCCGCCCGCCACCCAGGCGGAGACACCTCTCCGCAGAGACGGCTTCGGCCAGCGGACGAGAGGGTCGGGCTTCGGCGGGCAGCTCTGCGCCGGCCAGCTTTCCCGGACGGGCTGGAGAGATCTTCTTGCGCACCCACCGGCAAGGGCGCAGGAGAGAGCGGTGGGCAGGGTCGCCGTCGCGGGCGCCCGCCTCTCCGGCTGGATCCGTCGCCCCGAAGGTAGGTCCCCCTGGGCTCGGGCGGCAGTGTCGCTCTGCCCGAAGCAGGGAATCCGCCGGCGCGGCCCAGCCTGCCCGCATTCCCGTCGGGATCCTGTGGCTGACAGCGAATTTGGAGAGAGAGGGAGGGGCGCGAGCGGGGCTGGCGAAGCGCGCTATTCCAGCGGTTCAAGAGGGCTCGACGAGCAGCTCCCGGGGGTGGGGGACTCGCCGGCCGCCCCTCCACGCCTTCGTCCGCTTGAGGCTCGGTCCGGCGCCAGAGAGTCTCTCCCGATGCCCCCAGTCCAGCCACGCCTCGCGCCCTCACAGAAAGCCTGCCCCCCCCCCAGCGATGCTCCTCAGAGATATGGTCGGGGGGGGTGCATCCTTCCCGGGACTGGGCAGCCCGGAGCCTCTGGCAGGCTCCACCCCGCCCCGCCTACCAGGGCCGTGCCCGGGGCTGCCGGCCATGTCGGACCGGGAAACGGGCCAGCAGCTCCCGCAAAGGGCGAGCCTCTTTCCGCTCCCGCAGGGTCGGGGAAGGGCTCTCCCGCCCGCTCGACCGCTCCGCTTCAGCACCACGGGCGAGGACAGCTCCGCGGTGGCGTCCGGTGGGAAGCTGCGCCCCGCCCTCGGCAGAAAGGCGCTTTCCCCGCCGGGCGCGCTCCGCGGTCAGCGCCCGAGAGAGGCGGCCGCGCCGGACACGGGCCTTTCCCCCCGGGGGGAGCAGGGAAAGGCGCAGCTGGACCGGAGGCCTGAGCGCCGCTCCCTCCGCCTGCGCGCAAAGCGGGCGCCGCTCGGGCAGGACCCAGGCAGGGAGAGCGGCGACTTCAGGCAAAACTCCGGCTCCGCAAAAGCCGCTTTGGAGCTCAGGAGAGGCTCCTGCTTTAGGGACGGGCTCGGACACTGCCAGTTAGTGGCATTCAGGGCCCAATTCCTACGCGGCGCCTTTTTCATCACCTCGGGCCCCCCAGGCCAATTAGCACCTGACCCAACGGTGACCAGCGAGGGTCACTTCAGGACGCTCTGGGAGCTCCGGGGCAACAGGTGAAGGGCGGCCTGCAGTGGAGGAGCTCCTGAGTTGTGGTGGAAAGCCGAGGGGAGGGCAGCAAGCTCTTCTGGAGACCCCAATCCAGCCTGGGAACAATGACAGGGTCTCCAGTGGGAATCCTGCTAGTCAGCCCTCGTCTGGGGTCCCGCAGGCTGCCCAAGGCCTGGGATTCTCCCCTGAAACCCCGAGGGCTTGTTTCAGAGGGAGGTTTCTGGGCCCCCTGCCAGATGCAGGTTTGTTTTCCTCTCCTGCAAGAAGCGTCACCTCTGAGCAGGCGGACTGCGGTCCAGGCAGGCAGAAGAAAGGAGCAGGCTTCTGCCAGGGGCGTCTTCAGGCCTCTCGGGTGACATCGGTGGATGCTGGCTGGAGGGGTGGGGTGGGGTTGAGTGAAACGTGACTCCCAAATGTCATTTCTGGCTGCGTGGAGGGCCTTTCTCGGAGGCAGCCTCGCAGCCGGGCACCCCATCCTCACCTGTGGGGAATCAACCATTTTGCCCAGGTATGCAGTGACATCTGCCTGCGATGTGGGTTGCTGCTCCCCACAGAAGGGGCTGTGGTGCCTTCAATGCCACCGCTTGTTCCACCTTCAGTGAGGCTTGGCATGGAATGGCTTCTGCAGGATCTCAAGTGCCACCTCCCCGTCCAGGGAGTCGTGGTTGCCTTGCCCACGTTTTTCTCCCGGCTGGGCAGCCGCAGAAGCCCTTGGGGCCGCTCTCCTGGGGCTTCATGTTGGGAGGAGGGAAGGGCTGACTAACCGCTCATCTGACCCGTGGAAATCCGAAACCACCAGAGCTCGGGACTCCGCTCAGCTAGCTCCACCCTTGCTAACCCCAACCATCTCTGCCGAGTTTTCCTTCTCAGCTTTCTCCACGCAAGAGCGGCTGCAGCAGCCTTCGGAGCGAGGTGGGTTTCCGTTCATAAGTCATAAAGACTGATGTTTCTCAAGGAGGAAAAAAAAATCTTCTTTCAAAAGCTCCAAGCAAGCCTCTTGAAATAATTCAGGTGATAGCAGCTGATTGTGGCGGCTTTTCCATAAATAAAGAAAGGGATCCGTTCTTCCTTTTCCAGTTGACACTCCAGAATGCAGCAGCGTCTCAGATGGTCTTTGCAACGGAGCCGGATAAGAAGGAGGAATTCCAACCTTTGGATATATACATCCTTCCCGTAGATGAGCAAATCAAGGGCAGCTGATTGGGGTTCTGGGACCCCCTGATATAGGGCTTATCTAGGGTAGAAGAAGCACAATCTGCCTGATTCCCTAATGTTTCTCAGCATCTGGGCGGATTAGCCGGGCTCTCCTTTTAAGGGACGCTTCTGTGCAGGTTCTGTCTCTACAGGAAGTGTGGCTGGAACGTCAGCAGGACCAAAGAGATCGCCCTTCCTGTCTACTGACAGGAAGTCCAGTGGCTGGCCCATGGTCCTCCAGAAAAGGAGAGTCCACATCTTCCCAGGCAAATCACTTTCATCCCTGGCCATCAGAGGGTTCTCTCCAGCATGAGGTGGAAGCCATTAATGTTCGTTTATTGCATTTGACTGACAAGCCAGCTTCATAACCACGTCACAGTGGCAGGCACCAAGCCACTTGTCATCCTGGACTCTGTTGAAGAACAGCCACTGCACTGTCAAGGACACAAAAACTGGTCGCTCTGTGAAAAGGCACTCGGGCTAGTTGGGCCTGATTTATTCTTAGTAAAGCCATTGTGGTTTCTTCAGAATGCTTTTTCCTAAACACTATTGGTTAGTGATCTGCTCTGGAGTATTGATCTGCAGCTGATCAGCCTTTGTCATCCAGAGGCCTCCTCCCCCACTTTCCCCTTTGGACAGAAGACGACATTTCTCCTACGGTCTCTGGCACTCTGCTTCCCAGGCTTTCTCAGAGATCACCAAAAGCAGCACCAGTGGAGACATTTATTTGTTCCTGGGCCCTTAAATTCATCACAGTAGTCAGAGAAGCCCACTTCTTCTCTAGTCTTGCTGAATCTGGTCCTCTCGAAATCCTGGGCTGTGCTTCAGCTGTGTTTTCTGTAGCCTCTTGACTCTGAAGACGACACAGGGACCTTCCCCCAAAGTTCCCAGTGTTTCCCTCCCCCGCTCTCTTCTCCAGCCTCTGGAAGGTCACAGAGTGATTTCTGGGGCCTTCCAGTCTTAGATCAGGTGGTTTTATAACCAATATCTGGGTAAAGTGGTCCATTATGAGTCCGTCTCTGCTCCTTGGAAGTTCTGCAGTCTGACCTAAGGAGGCCCCATCCAGGTCTTCGGCCTGCTTGGCAGTCTAAAGTAGCTTCTTCAGCCTAGATTGCTTTCCCTTCTTTGTCTTCTTGCACAAATTCCCCCGTCGTCGCCTCTCACACATCTCTGCAGTTCCTTCACAGGGGAAGCTGCAGCTGCCACAGGCTGCCTTGGGTGCCAGTCTGCTGCTGGTTCACGTCAATGTGCAGGTCGTGACCTATCAGGCCCTGCCTGGCCTGAGGCGGAGCATTGAGGGACGGCCTCTCCCCAGTCACATCTATCCCTTCCATCAGGTCTGCTCCAGACTCAGCCTGCTCGGAAGGGCCGACCCTCCCCCAGAGATCAGATTGGCCACACCCTCGCTTGGCCCTTGGCTAGACCCTGAACCCCAAGTGTGGGGAGCCAGGTGTGTGCTGGTTGTACAATTGATGGTTGCTCTCTTTTCACCTTGTGTGTGTGTGTGTGTGTGTGTGTGTGTGTGTGTTTATTGTTTAATAGTGTTTTACAGTGTTGCTAGCAACCCAGAGCATTGAATTTGAGTTGGGAAACCCATATCAATGGAATAAATAAATACCCTCCTCCTCCTTCTCCCAGTTTTCCTGGCCTGTTCTTTTCAGATCAGTCATTGTCTCCATTGCTGACATTCCTCTTGTGTTTATTGTCACTGGCAATAAAGCCTATTTGCTTTCCTGCCTTCAGGCTTCTAAGAAACCTGCTCTTTGTTCCCCAGAATTCTCCATATCTCAGCCACATCTGCTCAACTCTTTGCGCTTCTTGATGTTGCCCCTCCAGACGCCACCTCTGTCCAGCTCAAGAAAGCCCTCCCCATCTCTGATTAGCTGAGGAGCTGAAGGCTCTGGCTTTTTCCCTCCGCCTGTCAATTGGGAAAGCAATCAGGTTGGCCTCTGATGCATCTCTGAGGAGGATTCCCAGTTGTCCCCTCTCAACCTCCATGTTCTTCTGAGGAAGGAAGGAAGGAAGGAAGGAAGGAAGGAAGGAAGGAAGGAAGGAAGGAAGGAAGGAAGGAAGGATTCCCATTTGGCCTCCATCCAATTCTAGTTTGCTGCCTCAACTAGCCAACCAACAAGCAATTCTCCAGCCACACAAAATGGGCCATCACAAATGCACCAGTGATGACAGGCTGGCCCATAATTGCCTGAATCTCCCCCCCCCCTTTGAAGACAGGGGCAACCCCCCCTTCTGATACGTGTTATTGAGAAGGATTTCTCAGTGATAACACATAGAAGTTTAAACAGAACATCATCAAGTGTCTTCAGTATCCGAGAATAACTTTTTCTGGAACCCATTTGGAACGAAGGAATCCGTTCACTGAGTTTCTTTCTATCCAGCCTCTCTCCTCCTTCTTGCTCTTCACAGTGCTGGGGGGTCAGGATGGTTTTACTGGAGAAGACCAGGCCGAATCATTTCCTTTATTACCCGTCTGTTTTTTCCTTTCCTCACAGATGGGCTGATTCAGGGATTCCCTTCCTTTTATCTGCAGCATAAAGGCAGCTGCCTCTGCCCAGGGTGAGCTGCCCTTCGGGGGGCCTGGCCACGGCTCCGTGTCAGGCAGCCTGCAGGACAGAGAACGGGCTTCCCTTTCCCCTGCTTTGCAGATTTTGAGAAGGACGAGCACCTTCCTCTCCCACTCAGATCAGTCGTTTTCAAGGCCCCCGCCCCCAATTTCTCCTTGTGAATTTCCACTTCTCAGATCCTTTTCTTCCTCATTTTCGGTGGTTATC